AAAGTCCTGCTGTACTTGTGCTTGTTCTTCGTGAAGAATTCTTATGCCTGTCCTTGTGTTATGAGAGCAGCAATATGGGAATAGAAAGAAGTAATTCATTGTCTCAGTCCTGACAGGGAAAAAAAAAAAAAAAAAGAAAATTGAACAGGGAAAAAGGTGAAATGCTTCAAAAATGCTGCAAATAAGTAAATGGTTTTGACTGGTGCTTATGCTTTGATTAAACAAAATGAAAATCAGTTTTTCAGAGAAATCTACCTACTGCTCAGTTACTAAAATCTAACATTGTTCTGCCGAGTAAATAATGTGGGACACATCGCAGTGAATGGCAGTGGCCAGTCTGCAACTTCAATGCATTCATGAGCAGCTGGCATCTCAGCCCAGCTGAGTGGGGTATAACAACATATACAACATATATACAACAGATATGTTTTCTTGTGGAGCCCTGCAAGGATTGCTTATAAGACCCACAGCTCTAAACAATTTCTATCAGTGATACAGAAGGCAACATAAAATTACAAGTTAAAATCTATTGTCAATGTGAAGATCAATAGATAGTAAGTCAATGGTGAGCACAAGACATCACAGCATAGTCTGTGTTGCCTTCCAGACTAGCTTCAAAGAGTATTTTTCTGAGGCTGAATAAATCTATGTAATTATCACAAAAGAGGAGTTTATTTCCAGAGAGAAAGTGAGGGATTCTCTGACAGACTGAATCATAGAATTGCAAGGTTGAAAAGGACCTACAAGACGATCTAGTCCAACCATCCTCCCGTTACCATTACTATCACAAGCTATTAAACCATATCTCGTAGCTCCTCATCCAGATACCTCTTGAACACTGCCAGGCACAGTGACTCCACGACTTCCCTTAGCAGGCCATTCCAGTGCCTGACCACTCTCTTAGAGAAAAAGTTCTTCCTTATGTCTAATCTAAACCTCCTCTGGTACAACTTGTGGCTGTTTCCTTGGGTCTAGTTTGCTGCCTGGGAGAAGAGGCCAAACCCCTCCTCATCACAGCCTCCCTTCAGGAAGTTGTAGAGTGCAGTCAGGTCTCCTCTGAGCCTCCTCTTCTCCAGACTAAACAATTCCAGCTCCCTCAGCTGCTCCTCATAAGACTTGTGCTCCAGACTCTCACCAGTTTCATTGCCCTTCTCTGGACACGTTCTAGGGCCTCAGTGTCTTTCTTGTAGTGAGGGACCCAAAACTGAACACTACTGTGTTCAGTACTTTCGAGGTGCAGCCTCACCAGTGCTGAGTACAGGGGGATGATCACCTCCCTGCTCCTGCTGGCCACACTATTTCTAATGCAGGCCAGGATGCCGTTGGCCCTCTTGGCCACCTGGGCACACTGTCAGCTCATGTTCAGCCGAGCATCAACCAACACCCCCAGGTCCCTTTCCCCTTCACAGTCATCCAGCCACTCAGCCCCAAGCCTGTAGCGCTGCATGGGGTTGTTGTGCCCAAAGTGCAGGACCCGGCACTTGGCCTTGTTGAACCTCATCCCATTCACCTCAGCCCAGTGATCCAGCTTATCCAGATCCCTCTGAAGGGCCTCCCTACCCTCAGGCAGATCAACACCACCTCTCAGCTTGGTGTCATCTGCAAACTTACTCAGGGTACACTCAATCCCCTCATCCAGGTCATCAATCAAGTTATCAAACAAGATGGGCCCCAGTACCGACCCCTGGGGGACACCACTTGAAACGGGTCACCAGCGGGACTTAACTCCATCAACCACTATCCGTTGGGCACGGCCCCCTAGGCAGTTCCTTATTCAAAGAAGGGTATACCTGTCCAGACCACAGGCAGCCAGTTTCCCCAGGAGAATACTGTGAGAGACCGTGTCAAAGACTTTGCTGAAGTCTAGGTAGACTACATCAACAGCCTTTCCCTCATCTACCAGGCTGGTCACCCAGTCATAGAAGGAGATGAGGTTGGTCAAGCACAACCTGCCTTTCATGAACCCGTGCTGGCTGGGCCTGATCCCCTGGACACCACGCACGTGCCGTGTGATCTCACCCAAGATGATTTGCTCCATGACTTTTCCTGGTACCGAGGTCAGGCTGATAGGCCTGTAGTTCCCTGGATCCTCCTTATGACCCTTCTTGTAGATGGGAGTCACGTTGGCAAGCCTCCAATCCTCTGGGACCTCTCCAGGCAACCAGGAGCACAGGTGGATGGCAGAAAGTGTCTCTGCAGTCACCCCCGCCAGCTCCCTCAGCACCCGAGGGTGCAGCCCATCCGGTCCCATGGACTTGTGGCAGTCCGGATGGAGGAGGAGCTCTCTAAATGTCTCCACCTGAATCACCAGCAGTGTATTCTGTGTAGCATTCCAGACTTCCAGATCAGGGCGTAAAGTGCCCTGAGGATAACTGATCTGCCTGTTAAAGGCAGGTGTAAAGGCGGCATTGAGGACCTCAGCCTTCTCCTTATCCTCAGTGGTCACATTCACAGCTGCATCAAGTAAAGGATAGAAATTCTCCATGGTTCTTCTCTTATCGTTGATATATTTATGAAAGGATTTCTTATTCTCTTTTACTGCAGTGGCCAATCTGAGTTCAAGTTGGGCTTCTGCCTTCCTAACTTCCTCCCGGCATACCTTAGCAACCTCCTTGTAATCTCCCCAAGTAGCGTGTCCCTTCTTCCAGAGGGCAGAGACTCTTTTTTTTTTTCTGGAGTCTCAACAACAGTTCCTGGTTCCTCCACACTGGTCTTCTTCCCCTACAGCTTGCTGTATGGCATTCAGGGACAGCCTGTTCTTGTGCCTTTAAGATTTCTATCTTGAGGAGCGTCCAGGCTTCCTGGAGCCCTTAGTGCTTCAGGAGTGACTCCCAAGGTACCCCTGCAACAAGCATTTTGAACAGGTCAAAGTCTGCCCCCTGGTAGTTCAAGCTAACAGTTTTGCCAGTCACCCTTCTGACATCTCCCAGAACAGAGAATTCTACAATTTCATGGTTGCTTGCCCAAGACATTCCCAACCTTCACATCTCCCACCAGTCCTTCAGTGTTAGTGAAGAGCAGCTCTAGCAGGGCAACACCCCTGGTAGGCTCTCGTACCAGCTGTGTAAGGAAGCTATCTTCCACGCCCTCTAGAAATCTCTTGGTCTGCTTCCTCTGCACTGTATTATATTTCCAGCGTATATCAGGGAAGTTGAAGTCTCTCATGAGAACAAGTGCTGGCAGTAGCGCAATTTCTGCAAGCTTAGTGGGAGCTGGGGAAGCAGGGTAGGCAGGCGGGGGGGGCTCCCATGACACCAAGTTGGGACTCTTTTCCAACTCTCCTCATCTGTCAGGTCTGCCTGACTGTGACAAGGCGGGGGGGTCAACCACTTTTCTGTGGGTATCTCCCTCACACCCTTCCCTTTGACACACCAGTGAGTCACTCTAGCAGTCGATCTCCCACTCATATTCCCTCACCTCCTTCTTGAGCTCTACTATCAGGCTGAGCAGCTCATCCACCTGTTCACACCTCACACAGGTGGAATCCTTGCTATCCTCCCCGGGCGGCAGCAGGCTCAGGCATTCCTTGCAGATGAAGACCTGAACAGCCACATTTCTGGGCAGTTTCTCCATCTGGGTTGCCACAGTTTTCTTGGAATAAGCCCACTGTCTGGTGGTAAAATGTTTAGGCCTGCAGTCTCAGAGACTGTCAGGAGGAGAGCTGGTTTCCTGAGCAAGGAGGGACAACACCTAGTTCCTCACCACTTGACCCACTTCCCACACCCACAGCTGCAGCACTGTATGGACGGCGCAGACTATGCTCACTCACTGACCCATTCTCAGTGGGTAGTAACAGTAGTTAGTCACCTGCTGTGCTCTCCGAGATTATTTAAAGCTTATCACCAGGTGCCAAGGGCAGGTGATGACACATTTGTAGGGTGTTTAAACTCTGCTGCTAATGTGCCAGCTCCATCTCTGCTCACTTAGTAGCTTGCCCACAAGCTGCTAGCCCCTTAGCACAGGTACGGCACTATTGCTGGCTTCAAAAAAGAAGCCTTAAAAATAGCTTTTTTGTTGGCCTCCAGATCTCTTGCTCAGTGCAGTCTTACCTGGTTTGAATCTAGTCTGTGCAGCAAAATGAAGATGACACAGAGGATTTTTTTATGAGCGGAGAGGATGAAGCAATGATGAGTGATAAGCTAGAGGTTTATCATCAGCTAGATGTGAGCCCCTAACTTGACATCACGGTCAGAAGGACTAGTGTAATCCACTGTTCCATATTCATAGCATCATTCAGCAGGAGTAGAAAAGAAACCTTTATCATTTAATACTAATGTATTTTCTAAACCATATGAAACCATTACTGTTTCTGTAGTCAACCTGTGTCAACCTGATTGTTTGAAATTTTCACTTTCTCAGATTTATTTTGGTAGTCAATAAATTGTTAAGTTTGAATGTATGAGGTTTTTTTTGGTGAATGTGTTGTAATCCAAACAAAAGTTTATTGGTCCTGTGGCCTGTGTGGGACAGAAGATCAAAACTAAATCATCACAATGGTCCTTTCTGATCTTAATATAATTTCTGTAACTTTGTCAGTTGCAGCTGAGAGCCGTTTTTTAACACTTCTGTGGTCTTTCTTCTAATAGTAACAATTTGAATGGTTTAACATAGTCCCACTGCTTCCACGGATACTAAAGGGATCCAGAGTCTTAATGGCAATACTGCCACTGGCCTGCTATTTTAGAAGAATAGGTGAAAAACTTAGGAAGTTGCATACCTCACCACGGTAAGATTCCCTTCTTCTTTGCTTTCCTTTTATGTTAGACATGGAACAGTAAAGAAACTCTGGGCTCTATCCACACGAGTTAAACAGTTTGTTTTAGATCTGTGAGGAGCACAACATAGCTTTCCCAAATTACCAAATAGTTGTTGCATTTTTTTTGTAACTATAGAAAAAAATTGATAACTCTCGCTGCTCTCAGTTATTCCTTCCATGATGTTACTTTATCTCCTTTCTCCTTGCTTTCCAACTGTCTTTAGAATGAGTCAGTTAACTTATGTTCTTACTACAAAGTTCACTGGGTGTGAATAACCTCTATCATATTAGGAGATAAATCTCAGATTTGAACCAACTCCTTGCTTAGTTTCAGCGTTCTTTTGTCATCTCATTCAAATGCAACATAGTCTTGATTGTTACCTATTTAGAATCATTCAGTTAAAGGACAGTATAATAAATAGTGGACATCTTTGCGGTTGCCTTTTTAGCTGTGTTGCTTCAAGTTTAAGTGAGCTAAGTATGTTCTTTTCTAATGTTTATGTAGTCGCCATCGTCTTCGCTGTCTTCACCACCATCCTCATCGCAGCCTCAGGTTAGCCACAGCAGAACGAAGGCTTCGCAATTGTGTCAGTCTGCATCCCTCTCCTGGGCTAAACGTAATCATGTAGGTCCTGCAAAAGCTACCAGTCCGTCAATCCGTCTGCGTCGTTGGCGGCCCTTGATACGCCTTCCATCTGTTGGGCTTCATTCTGTTGTAAGTGTAGTCCATCTTCAGTCTTTTCTTACTCTGACACAAACGGCATTCTGCCAGATACTTCAGTCTTCAAGGCATCATATTATAATTTTTGTTGGGATCCTTTCTCAGCCATTCTTAGGATTTTGTTCTTCCTTATTTTTTTTTTCTTTCCCCCATATTGGACAGCAAGAGTACATCACTCCATATTTTGCTGTTCAAGTATTTTTGATTCAGGACATGTGCCAAGTCATTTTCAAAGTGTAGATGAAGCTTGCCCTTCATGAAGTGGCTTTCCTTTTTTGTTGTTGTTGTTGTCCACAGGCTCCAAATCCAGCTTCTTCTTTTTATCTCATCTTCATGGTCTTTCATTTGGATTTGCTACAGCAAGGGGCTTCTCATTTCTTGTTGAATGATATTATTTCTTCTATGTGTTTGAGATCTGCCTTATGTTCTCATATCCTAAAACTAGTCTCCTTTTCTTTTATTCTAAGTCTTACTTAATGGTTTTTGAGTGTTTCAATATGATGAATTGTTTCATGTAATTCCAAGGGGCTCACGTACTTTCTCACTTGACATCTGTTTCTTTACCCAGTTTCTTTCTAGGCAGACCTTCTAGTTGAAGGTGAAGATATTCTAATAAATAAAAACTAGTCATCGAATGTGCTAAAGCATTTTTCCTTTTCCTCCTTTTTTTTTCTGTTACCCTGTTTTTTCTTTTTCACTTACAGGGCACAAATGTATCTTCAAAATGTAGAAAAAATTTGCATGCACAAAATAGACAGTATTTCTATACTGTGCTATGGCTACAGTTCATTTCAATGCTAAATTAACCATGATGTAACCAAAGATGGAAGTTACAGCATATTATGATTATGCTAGAAACTGTTAACTACTGTAATCTTATTTACTTCGTGAGATTTCTGAAAGCAACTCCTCATCCATTAGCAGTGAGCGTTTGTTCTGATAATTTAGAAATTGTAATTTAATTCAGAAAGTAGGTGCCCTTCAAAAGAACTCTGTGGCAAAACAGAAGCTTCTAAGATAGCACTAAAATAATACTCATTTACTCCACTTAGATCCTTGATTCTCCAGTTTGGCAGATTAAAATTCTAAGTCCTACATACAAAAATTTGTCACTGAATATAATATAGTGTGATATGTGTTGGTAACTAAAAGGTTCTTCTTGTCTTTACAGTTCTTTATAACATATATTTGGAAAGTTATGAACCCTGTATAAATCAGCATAATTTGCAAAAAGCAGGCAGCATTTTGGGCATTAGTAGAGCTTATAAGAAAATGATTGAATTGCTTTTATTAAAAATTGACTTAAATTTCAGGGATGGTGGGGACATCCTGTATACATTTTCTAAATTAATTTTAAATACGTTTCTAGTCCTAAACACTGGCAGAAAATAATTGTTTCAAAATTAAGAGTGGAAGTCAGTGGTAGGAGACTGTTTTTCTGCTCTTTAAATAAAACCACCTTCCATAGTTGTAATTTTCCTTTGATGTTTTAGATAAGGTCTCCGGATATCTGCAGAACATATAATAGAAAAAAAGTATTGAAAACATTATCCTGAAGTGTTCTGTGCACATCTGATAAATTTGCAGTAAATATGGTGAATTTTTAATCTGTGGGTAACAACATACTTCATATAGAATTTTTCTCAACAACTGTAATGATCTCTTGCTCTTCCAGTTCATCTGTTCTTGAAGACTAGTGCCTCTGCTCGCCTTGGGATCATTTTGTTCCTTTTTATATAACATGCTAATCTCTCCATATTCTCTTTTTTTACACTTCTCAAATAAGAAAACACGAGCTGTTCTTTTTTTTCTCCCTGAGTGCTCAGCCTTTGATTCCTGTGTCAGATTAACATTCTTATTTCTTAAAAATATAAGGAATGTATCTTGAACTGTACACTGTTGAATAATCCATCTCACATACATATTTACAGATAGATTTCTGTTTGTGTAAGTATTCTATATCTAGATTCTCTGGTCACTGATAGATCCCATCTCTGAATTTCACCTTCTTGTCATCCTCTCGTTCAAAATTAGTTGCTGCTGTCCTGCAGCTAGCCTCCCACTTGCATGTTGTAGCTACAGCTTGAGACATAAAATTCATAAGCTTTAGAGGGACAGCATGCTAGACAAACAAATTAGATAATGTTTAGCGAAGGAACTTCTTACTCATTCTTGAGACAGTTGCTCTGCACCTGTCTTTTATCTAGACAGTGGATCTTTATCTGCGGTAAGCTGTGCATGTTCGGTTTTGAAGCTCTTGAGCATAGCAAATGCAGTAAGCTCTCTGTGGTACATTGATCATGAATAGAGATGTGACTGTTTTGTGAGAATTAATCAGAAATAATCTTTCTGAAGTTCGTGATCATTATTCCAGTGGTCATTGTTTCAACTGCAGTCTTTCAACAAGGATTCAAATGCCTATCACACACACACAGTAAATTTGCTTAAAGGTAGTGTAGATGCACTTTGTGCCTCAAAATGGAAATTACAGGTGCCTAATCTACCCAGCTGCAAATGCATAACTTTTTCCCCTTCAGAACTTATTGAATCTAAACCATGCTAATGTTCTTTTGCACAAACATCACTTAGAATAGATTTTTCTTTGTCTTCTCCTAATTTATTGTGAGTGAAATTGTACACATAAACTACTATAGTTTTTATTCTCTTAGACTTATTATTACTTTCAGCTTAATCATTCAGTTCAGTTCCTCAAGATTCTGCAAAATTATTTTCCTTATCAGTCTTTATCTCTCTTCTTTCAGAATCTGATAGATTTTCAATGTCATTTTCTTGACTGAATGCAAAAAGAAGTTTCGTTGGTGTTATTGTGTTGGGTTTTTGTTTGCTTTTTATTTTTTTCCATGTTTATTTTTCTGATTACTACCTGTAACACAAAGCATTGTACTAAATTGGTTTGAGAGGCCTCTTGCCTTGCTCCATTTTCTTAAGTAGAAAGGAGAAGTAATAAAAAGATTCCATTGGATGAACCTCTCATATAACATTGAATCTGGCTTTATATTGTCGTCTTTTATAAATAAATTTTAAGCAGAATGAAGTGAGGAGTTTCTCAGTACGTTCATAAGAGCAAGACAGATTTTTTGTTGCTTTTCCCCCCACTGGTGAGTTTGCCCAAGAAATGCAGATGAAAGAAGCATTATTAGAGAAGCTGATATGACAGGGCTTCGTTGACTTAGGAGTGTACTACCAAGTTTCTAAAAGTTTGTGCAACAAGAAGAATGAAGAATGTTGTTTGTGAGCAAAGTAATGAGAATGTAATGGTGAAAGGTGAACTCAAAGAGCTTCGTGGTACGATGGAAGGTAGGAAAGGATATGGTTGACACAGTAGGAAAGTGTAAGAAGTGTTATTTTAGAAATTACTGATTAGAAATCTGCTAGTGAAAAACAGGGGTACTATTTTGATTATATAAAGTAATGCTTGAGAGGTGTATACAATTGCTGTCTACTCTGAGAAGTTTATTTTACTGTTGAATTGAAATGTTCAGGCTAGTAGAGAAGGCTGTTAAATCTTGTGAGAGATTAGGAACTGGTCATTTAATCACAGAATCGCAATATTGTAAGGGCTGGAAGGGACCTCTAGAGATGTCCAAAACCCTGACTGTCCCCTCTGTGGACATTGGAACACTTTTAGTAATGAAAAGGCTTTTGTTATACAGAGAATGAGAGAGATTGGAAGGAAGAAGAGAAAATGGCTGCTATAGTATACATTATATGATGAGAATGAGGAGTACAAAACGATTGGAAAGTTGTCTACTGAGCAACTAAAAGCAGTGCTAAAAACAGTGAAGTATGAGAGACTGGGAATCCGTGAAGTCACACTATATTACTATCAAAAGTTACCTCAACACCCTCAGAACAAATTGTGATTGTTGTGTACTTAGAACCATCACTTTTAAGTGCTAAGCCTTTTTTTTTCTATTCAAATCTTCAGGTTATTATTTTTCAGACTTTTTTTTTCAAAGAAGTAGATTGGAAAAGTGGTTATATGAGTCAGTGGGCATCACAACCTGTTCATTATACTAAGGGTACAGTCATAACGTAAGTTTCTGTAAGCTACCCAAGATGCTGATATATGTCCTCTATCTTTTCTGGATGGGAAATAAGTGTAATTTTTTTTTTATTCACTGAGTGGTACAGCTGTTCAGAAGACTTGAAAAGTGAATCTTGGGTCTTAGAAGTCAGTTCTGAATCCTAGCTAGACATTGATCATGTTTAGACTTTCATTTTTTCTTCTTCAATGTGATAATGCAAATCTGCTGTCTCCTAGACATTGAATGGGCTTCTATGTGAAAAACCAAAGGAACAGGTGCTCTCAAACCTAACTGAAGCTGATATTAGTAGTCTTTGAGAAGAGTAAACAAGAGAAAATCCTTCATAATTGCTTTTGTATTATGACCTAGTGATGAGCACACAAGCTGAATTTTTAGAGCTATGTTCTCTTCTAAGCATTCACGCAGGCTTTATTAAAAGCTGAAAACTTGGCCAGAGGTGTAGCTTTCCACAATAGACATCGCACTGAAGCTGACGTTCTCTGCCCTCTGAAACAGAGGTGGAACAGAGTATTTTTATCTTTTGTACATTAACTGGTCATGGAGGACAGATAACATCAGTGAGGATGGGAGGAGGTTGTGTGTGAGAGGGTTCCCCACCTTTTTTTTTTTTATTTTTTTTTTTTTGTCTTTTTTGAACTTCCTGTACGGAATTTCTATAAGCTGTTGGCAGTTCCTCTGTAATTCTGTCTTCTTTGGCATTCTTGTTTGGTTGAAAGACTTATGGTGCCACCTTGTCCTTTGCTGTATTGTTTTGATCATTTGCTTGGGTTTCATCAAGCAGCTTGGGTCATCTTTTCAAGTCTTTCTTCATGACCGTAAGGAAGAAGGAAAGTTTCAATGGGGTCTTAAAAACATGATGTAAACATAAGATTCTCCACAACTCATTTTACACAGTAATCTGTTTCTGCCAGATTTAGATTTTTGAGATGCTTTATGAAATTCACAGAAGTATCAGAGTAATGACGGAGGAGAAAATGTATGAAATACAAGTCACGTTCTTGATAATTTCTTTAGAAGTAACTGAAGTGCTTTCATCCATTCACTCAAAACAGTATCTTCTTAATTGTGAAATAGAGCTCAGTAGCAGACTGGACAAATTCATGAAGGAATAAGACCATCAGCTGCTATTGAACATAACAGTGGTGGTGCAGCTTTTGGCTCAGACGTTCTGACAACACTTCTTACCAAACTTGACACTGGGAATGTGCTGCCAGAGAAGAGCATGCTCTGTTCTCTTCTGAAAAGAGTAGAACAATACAAAAGATATCTTTTGTATTCTGTGATTGGCAACACTGGGCTGGATAGATGTTTACCAACTAACCATGTTTTTTCATGTCACTTGGTGCTGTAAGTGCACTTCAGTCCATTCTCAATATGTAGCGATGCTTCCTATGATGCTGCTTTGAAATTCCAGATGTCTCTGAGTGTAACACAGCTCTGTATCCCTCTCAGTTTTTCATCCTTCCTTTCTGCATAAGAGATGTGTGAGCAGTACCCTGGGAGTTTCATCTGTTTCTGCTGTCTGCAAGGAAAGAAAAGGTTAACCGTCCTGCAAGTGACTTGCATTCACTTTGACTAAGTGAATAAGTTTTAAAATACTGTAGGTTCAGAATTTTCAGTCCTGTATTGCTTTGTGACGAGAGGTGCGTTACTGAAGGACCTGCTATTTATATGAATATCTATTTTTAGTGCTCATGTATTCGAGTTGACACAACTTCTAACTCAGTAATGGCAAAATAAAGCTTTTATATAAAACTGTAATTGAAAATACTTCTACTTACTTAAGTGAGATGATTCTTACTAATACATGTATTTGCAGGAAGCTTCCTTATATTTCATAATGTTTTGCAGTGTGATATCTTCCATTCTGCCCAAATCCAGAATGTGTTTTTCACTTGCCGTATCTCTTGGACAGGTGTTCTGCACGTTATGATATATTCTCATTAATCATATTGGGATGAGTTTTAGTGAATGCAATATGGTTTTTGTTTGTTTTGCAGGCACCAAGTATAGATGAAAAAGTAGATCTTCACTTTATTGCATTAGTTAACGTAGGTGGTCATCTCTATGAATTGGGTAAGGACATTTTCTTATCTGCTCTACGTTTGTTTAAAGACAAATACAAGTAGTAATCTTGTTGACTATCAGTTTGAGACAAGAGTATTTGATTTAATGGAGGGCTTTGGTTCTTTTGCATTGTAGGGTTTGGGGGTGGTGGGAAGAGTTTCTATCAAATGACTGCAGCTGTTTTCCCACTGCTTTTTTTTGGATTCTTCTTCTCTCAACTTCTCTGTCAAGACAAAATGACACACAGTATTAGACTGTCTCTGATCTTCTTTTATTATTTGATAAGACAGGAAGCAAGAAAGAATTGATGAATGTGTATTTCTGAAAATACTGTTATACTTACGTCCTTAAATTGCTTAATAAATGTATTGTATGCAACTTTGCAAGTGTTAGCTGTATTATTAAATAGCATGATACAGTTAACATTGAAATTGTATAGAATACTGGAAGATAATAATCTCCATTTGTTATAGGCTGGTTACTTTTTAATCTATCTTAATTTAGTTAACTTCAGAACAGTGATCTCTGTTTTCTGAATTGGTTAAAGCTATTTTTTCTTTCTTCAGATTGTTTAGCAGCAGGTTCTGCTCAGATATTCTCTAATGATTCCAATCTAAAACATGTTGCTGGGCAACCAGGCTTTGCTGCAGCCACTTCAGAAAACTATCAAGTAGATATGAATTTAAAAACTGCAAGTCACTGGTCTTTCTTAACATATTTTTTCCTGGGTTTTATAGTGGGAACGCTTGCTACTTTTTTTTTTGTCAACATTTAAGTAAGCAATGCCCTTAGCAGGTGACAGTTAATTATTACCTGGGACAGAAGCAGTGTGTTAGAAATGTTTATATTAATCCTAAGGTGAATCTGTGGGTTAATATCAATGATCAGTCACGAACTGATCATTGGTGCACACCTCTGTTTTACTGATGTCTGTCAGTGTACTACAGATCAAATAGTGAGGTAACTACTACTGAAATGTAATCTAAATATGTTCTGACTCTTAAATTTCAAAGCATGATGAATGGGCTTTGTTTAGCTGTGTGCAGCTACTTCCATATTACTTCTTCATTGTGCATAAATTTGCTCAAAGAGCACACTGTTATATTTATCATATTTTGCTATATTCTATAAGGGTGATACAAGATAAAAGCCACTTCAATTTTTTATTCAATGAAAACAAACAAACAAACAAAACCCAAATGGGCATTTGGTTTAGTTTAGTTCAACTGTATGCTAGTACTATTTTCCTAGTTCTTAAAGTAACAAGTTCCCAAGTTCATAAAGTAACGTCTCTCTGAACTAGCAGAAGAAAGCAAAAAATAATTAAGTAGGAAAATGGGAGAAAGTTTTTTAGGTTCATTCACTGGTTTCAGTCACTGTGGCCAGCATGTGGGCTTTGGCAGTCAGAAAATGCTGAGAAACCACATGAATGCTAAATGCTTCTGATGTTTTTGCCATAGAAGACATGTTATTTATAGGCAGATGAAATTAAAATGTTATTCTGCCAAGTTGTATGTAAAAAATGTAATTAAATTTAGCTTGCAACCATACTGGGCATTCAGTTTGTTTCCTTGGCATGTTCAGAAGAATTTGTATTGTTATATCTTCAGTTCTGGGTTTTATATGAACAAGAGGGTGTTTGTGATTCTAAATATAAAAACGAATTAACATAAAATCTATTTTCAGTTATGAAAAATGCCATTTGGATGTACTATTGATTTCAGTGGAATCTGTGAGGAAGGGAAATCTTTAAAAAGGTGGGCAGAGCCAAAAAGGAATTTGGTCTAGAGAACACTTAAGATATCCTAACAAATGTTCTCATAGCATTAGCTCTTCATTTGTAACCTCGGGCATATTTCTATGAATAGAATTGTTTTAAATATACTGAGAACTATAGTGTTGCTATATTGCAAGTGACCATTTTTTTAATGTTGTGAAAATACTTAATGCCTGGCTTATTGGAATTGTTAATTTGTTTAATTTAAATGGGAATAAGGTTTCACTTATGTTCTTTGAAGTTTAGTGTTCTCATGTGTCATTCAGTCCCTGATGATGGTCGTCAAAGATCACAGATACACAGCAGTCAGTCTGGGTAATTCCAGTGTCATTGAAATCATTCTTTCCCACTTGAAAAGCTGAAGTGCTATCCCAGCAGTAAAGAAGTTGCAATTCATAGCCTCACATTTTCAAATAAACCAGTAGAGGTATCACTTCAGGTATTTTTAATATAACAGAATGTGCATAATTGATGACTGTTAAAAAGTAATAATTGGAGGAGAAATTAGGGAGTAGTCGTTTGTGTGTTTGTGTGATGCTTTTAAGAAAAGATACTTCTAAGAAAAAGAAAGTAGCATCTTTGTAAGTGAAGAGCGAAAAAAATCTGTTCATTTATTTTATTGGCAAAAAACTCAAACTTTTCTATTTTAATTTTATAAATTTATTCATCAGTACTGCTTTATGTTTCCACAGATGGACGCAAGCCATTCCCAATAAACCATGGGGAAACTAGTGATGATTCTTTTTTAGAGGTAGGAATAGAAATTGCTCATAAGTGGTATACAAAATTCAGTCTTGTTATATTTATGGTTGGATTGTGATTCTGGTTGAAAGAGTATCATAATATGAGAACAAGGAAGTGTAAGAAGAGCCGAGCATAACAGAAGATCAAACTGGCTTTTCTTCTCTGATGAGATTTTCATGCACCTGATTTCAAATTGTGTATGAGGGAAGTGATTAAATTGAAAATGTAATTTATCGTTTTTCTTTTAGTTGACTTAGTTATAGTTTAATACATGCCAAAGCAGAAAGAAGTTGATTTGCTTTCCAACACTTATTCCTTCTGCCCCTTCTTCCTTTCTAATAATTGTTGTTATAGAATCACAGAACGTCTTGATTGGAAGGGACCTTAAGGATCACCTACTTCCAACTCCCCTAGCACGGGGGCAGGGCTGCCCCCCACCAGCTCAGGCTGCCCAGGGCCCCATCCAGCCTGGCCTTGAGCACCTATAGGGATGGGGCATCCATAGCTTCTCTGGGCAGCTGTGCCACTGCCTCACCGCCCTCTGAGTAATGAATCACCTCCGAACATCTAACCTGAATCTCCCTTCTTTTAGTTTAAATCCATTACCCCTTGTCTTATCACTATCAGACCATGTGAAAATTGTCTAGTCTCTTTGTGTAGTTAATTTTGTGTGCTTGTGTGTCAGGAGCTGTTTCACTGAGAAATTGATCTCAAAGGAATTTACATTTAATTGAGGAGGTAAACTGCTATCCTGACAAAATTATCAGAAGTTGAAGCTAAGAGAAGTCTGTGCATCTGACTTCTGTAGTAACCAGACTGGGTTAGCTTTACAGAAGGAAGACACCAGAAAAACTAAAAAAAAAAAACAAAAAAAAAAAACAAAAACCAACCCAAAATGTAGTTTAATAATATTTACTAGTATCTGTAAAGTATGTATACAGTTTGTGTTTGTTTGGGCAAGGGAAGAAGCTCGGTAGAGTTCTTTCTTTTTTTTCCTGTTATACTGATAACATGTGTTCTCCATATTGCACCCTAAAGCTAGATAAAATAATTATTTATAATCAATCACTTACCCCACACATCTTTTGTTCATCTTGAGACAAAGGAAAAAAACACAGAATAAAGCAGTACACTTCAGAATAAAGGCAAACTTCAGAGATGCATTTGGAAAGTCAGGCAACATCTGTTGCATGAAGTAATACTCGGTCACAAAACTCACTGTTCTGGTTTTGCACAAAACATTTGTTCTCTTGTGCTAGAAATAATCCTGAATAGCAGTGACTCGGATCAGAAATGCAGTATATGTAAGTTTGTGATACTATTTAGTAATACTTTATGGAAAACTACACATTGACCATAATTTGTGTGAAGTGTATCTTTGCATTTCAGTTGCTTTTTTGAGTAAGTGTGATTTTATAGCTGTGGCTGTTCTGTTGTTGTTTATTTATTTATTTATGTTTCCCATAGGATGCAATAGAAGTTTGCAAGAAATTCATGGAACGTGACCCAGAAGAATTAAGATTTAACGCAATTGCACTGTCTGCAGCTTAAAAACTTTTCCACTTGGGCTAACCTATTGCAATGTGTTGTAACAAGATAACTGTTGCCGTACGTTAATAGTACAAGTTTTGATACTTCCCTAACATGTCCGTTAATTGTAGCACATGTGGAATAAACTTTGCATTTGTCCTTGATACAACTTGCTGCTTGTTCCTGAAGCAAATTCATGTATTTATGTACACGCATGCATTCTGTGCAAGACTTCTGTGTGGTGGGGTTTTCTCCTTCTACCCCCTTAATAGTTTTGGAAATCAGTGCCTGTGATATTTCATCATCATAATGGTGAGCTAGTTCAGAGTGGGACTCTTGTTTATACCATTTTGCATATAATATTTTGAGTGGAATATGGGATACTGGGCAAAAACTTGAAATATGAGGTTACTTGCATCTTTTCATTAAAATAATACAATCATAAGAACTTTTGCAGGTAGCTTAGAAGATAAAGCCACTTTTTTTTCATTGAATTATTTATAAATACATGGAAGAAAAAGAAAGCCAGAACTGTTTCTTCTTACTGGTGCTCAGGAATAATATTTTTAAAATTCTTATATTTACATTTTGAAGAACATTAATTTTGTTTTTCAAGCCTAATAATGTTAAAGCTTTTTAATAATTTATTAGTTAAACCAGTGTATGCGATTTGTATTTGTGGAAAAACAACATGAATTTTTACCTCAGAAAAACCAAGTAGTGATTAATGTGGTCACTAATGGTAGGACTGCAGAGGGAACACACGAGTGAATAAACAAAATGAAGCATCTCACCTAACTGAAATAAATGCTAGAAAAAGTCATAACTGTTTCAGTGAAGTTTTTTAGAACAAGGCCACATTCCGTAGATCTTCAGATGGACGTGATGGCTATATACTTCTATTCCATGTAGGAATATCTGTTGTAAATGTGTCAGGTGGCACTACTGACTGCTGTGTGATACCCTTCCCTTTACCTATCCCCTGGATCTCAAAGTACTGTTGACCAATTTCTACACTTGAAGTAGTAATGATAAAACTTTTTTGTTTGCTTTTCTTCTTTTTTTTTTCTAAGCAATCTTATGATTTAGGATTGTTGTGTGAGTAGGTTTTGTTTATTGTGCGTATTTCAGATAAGTATTTACTTGCTGCTTTGCAGTGAAGTTATTGAGGTTTGCTTCCAGTCAAGACCACTGCCAAAGGAAACTGAACTCTTAGTGTCCCATAGGTGCTTTCATTCTCTGTTAACTGTCATTGCAAGAAAAACAAATGGAATTATGCTAGAAGCAGCTTGGCAGAATTTTCTTTCAGAAGAAAGAAAAAGAGGCCTGGGAGTCTGTATTATCACTTAAGAGCATCTCTGGCTCTTCTAAAGAAGTCAGAGTGTCTGTCTAAAAATCTCACCTGGAGAGTCCACTAACAACAGGAGTCTGTTTCCTATGAGTGAGCTGGCTGGAAAAGTGAGAGGGAAGAACAATACTAATGAGCTTCCACGTGGAGCATTTTCTTCAGCCCAATAAAACATACTATCATTAATATGTGCATTTCTCTTGTTGTGGTCATTAGTAAAGCCCTGAAACATGCTTTTAAATAAAAACCAAAGGCCTTATTAAATAAACAGAACAACTGTGTTGCCTTCCTGCTCATAATAGCAAAATCCACTAAAAAGTGGTCACAGCATAATTAGGGTAAAGCACATTTTATGTTATAAATGTGAGTCAGAGGATCACAGTTAAGAAACTAGAGGTATAGATAAGGTATTTTTACTGCAGGGAGAGGGTGAAGAGGAAAGAAGGAGAAGAATTACAGTTCAAAGCTACTTTAGTTATCTACTTCAGGGAGGTATTCACACATGCTTTTCAGTGCTCCACTGTTGGTATTCTTAGGTAATGTGGAGAATACATCTTTGTGCAATTGCTTATTGTAAAATCGCTTCAAAACTGGGGTTTTAATTGAGTATGAGGACTGATTAAGTGAAGTTATGATAAAGGAAAATTGGGGTTAGAAAACTAAAGTTGGGGTGGGATTTTTCATGATCACACTGGAAAAATACATCTTGGATATTAAGGAGAAGTTTATTTGTAAGAATTCTTGGTGTATTGGCTGTAAGGTTTGTAAACTTCAGATCAGTTCTCCTGCATAAGTTTCCCTTCTGTCTTGCTTTTTTTTCCCTTTTTTTTTCAGTGCACTTCATGTGCACATTCCTTGCACAGTTAGGTTGAAGTGTTGCTAGACCACGCTGCAGTGTCCTACCTTGTGTGGACAGCATAGTGGCCTTCCTGTGCTGACAGGGCTGTGTTTTGACACACACACTGCCCACAGAGTGGTGGTCACCATCTCTGGAGGTGTTCAAGAAGTGTGTAGATGTGGCACTGAGGGACAGGGGTTAGAGGCATGGTGATGACGGGCTGACAGTTGGACTAGATGGTCTTAGTGGTCTTTTCTAATCTCAGTGATTCTAGGTGTTGGCGTCTACCTACAGAAATGCAGGCAGGAAGTGGATCTGCAAAATGCTGGAATACCCATGGAACTGAAAGGACGTGACTGAGCTAGGTGTCAGGAACATGTAGCTGCCATGTATCCTCCTGCCAGATCCTGGCCACGGGCTCTAAAGGCTTACAATTGCCATACTTCTACGATCCATGTGTATTAGCTCAGGCTCTCTGGGAAAATTCTGCTGTTATGTCCAAAGTTGTGCAGCTCTGCCAGGCCTCGCCAGCTTTGTGTGTAGCATTGTTTGGCTGCAGGCATTCAGCGCTGGCGACTGCCAGAAAATGCCTCCTCAGCTCCTGCAGCTGGGGCTGTCTGTATGTAACTTCATATGGAAATGGTGCATGTAGGAGCCAGGAGGTGAGGCATGCTCAGCGCTTCTGTAATTCTGGCTGGGTGAAGCTGTGCTGCTATTAAGCACTCCGAATTGCTCAGACTCTTTTAAGTATATTGGCATAAATTTTCCCATGATACCACAAGTGCTTTGTTGAGAAACTGAGAAGGTAAGAACCGGAGTAATGTGCTTTTTCCCTTCAGCCATGGCTGCATCATTAAGATTTTAAACTGGGCAAAGAGAAGGTGTTCCTAGTAACCAAAATGCTAAGACATAGTAAAAAGGGAATGTACAGCTCACATTTAGAGAACAAATATGGACTTCCCTTAAGAGGGGAAGAAATCTGCCTTGATGGAAAATATTATTTTATCAAATATTTGTAGAGTGCCCTATGAAAAGAACGTGGCAGAGTCTAGCTTGGGTTATCCACAGGAGCACGCACAGGGAAAGGCTTTGTTTAGCAGCTCAGACTGATGCTATGTTTGCTGCACTTGACGCTAATAATTAGCAGTGGTGCCCTGTGTCTGTAAGCTTTTTCTGACCTAGGCCTCCGGTGACTTGTTAGTGAGAGCATTAAGCTGCTTTACTTGTTTGTGCTCACACAGAAAAACTGTATCTGTGACAATTTAAAGTTTGTTTTGAAAAGGAAATGGTTCGTATTGGAACTTCTGTTTCTCAGTGTGTAACTGAGAATCCTTCTGCTTGAGGATTTCAAACATTAATCATGTTTAAGTGATTTGATAAGCTATTAAGTGCATAAAACAACCAGAAATCAGAAATGCAGATTCTTTACATTTTTTTTATTGTGGCTGATGTGACTTGGGGTAGGAAAGAGGAGCAGGAGAAATCTTCAAAATTACAACTTTTGTCATTATTTCATTCATCTCTGCCTCCATATCATAGAATCATAGAATCATACAATAGCTTGAGTTGGAAAGGACCTCAAGGATCACCAACCTCCAACCCCTCTGCTGCAGGCAGGGCTGCCAACCTCCTCATTTAATACTGACCAGGCTGCCCAGGGCCCCATCCAATCTGGTCTTGAACAGCTCCAGGGATGGGGCATCCACAACCTCTCTGGGCAGCCTGTTCCAGTACTTCACCACTCTCTGTAAAGAATTTCCCCCTGACGTCCAACTTAAATCTCCCCTCCCTCCCTAAATTTAAAACCATTTCCCCTTGTCCTGCTGTTATCTACCTTTTCAAAGAGTTGATTCCCCTCCTGTTTGTAGGCTCCCTTTAAGTACTGAAAGGCTGCCATTAGGTCACCTTGCAGCCTTCTTTTCTCCAGGCTGAACAAGCCCAGCTCCCTCAGCCTATCTTCAAAGGGAAGGTGCTCCAGCCCTCTGATCATCTTTGTGGCCCTCCTCTGGACCCTCTCCAACAGCTCCCTGTCTTCCTTGTACTGGGGGCTCCACACCTGGACACAGTACTCCAGATGGGGCCTCACAAGAGCAGAGTAGAGGAGGACAATCACCTCCCTGTCCCTGCTGGCCGTCCCTCTTCTGATGGAGCCCAAGATACCATTTGCTTTCTGAGCTGCAAGGGCACACTGCTGGTTCATATTCAGCTTTTCATCCATCAGGACCCCCAGGTCCTTATCTGCAGGGCTGCTCTCAAGGACTGCTCCTTCCAGTCTGTATGGATGCCTGGGATTCCACTGGCTCAAATGCAAAACCTTGCACTTTGCTGTGTTGAACCTCATTAGGTTCACCCAGGCCCACCTTTGAAGTCTGTTGAGGTCCCTCTGAATGGCATCCCTTCCTTCCACCATGTCAACCGCACCACTCAGCTTGGTGTCATCAGCAAACTTGCTGAGGGTGCACTCAATTCCATCATCGATGTCATTGATAAAGATGTTAATGAGCACTGATCCCAAGACAGACCCCTGGAGGATGCAGCTCATTACCGGCCTCCACCTGGACATAGAGCCATTGACGACCACCCTCTGTCTGCAGCCTTTCAACCAATTCCTTATCCATTGGGTGGTCCACAAATCAAATCCACATCCAATTTGGAGATAAGGATGTGGTGGGGGACCATGTCAAAGGCCTTGCTCAAGTCCAGGTAAATTATGTCAGTTGCCTTCTCTTTGTCTACCAATGCCATCACCACATCATAGAAGGCCACCTCATTGGGTAGGCATGACCTTCCCCTGGTGAAGCCATGCTGGCTGTCTCAGATCACATACTCATGTGATCAAGCACACACTCTCACACCTCATGTGAGGATCTGTTCCATGATCTTCCCAGACACAGAGGTGAGACTCACCAACTTGTAGATCCCCGGGTCCTCCTTGCTCCCCTTCTTATAAACAGCAGTGACATGAACCTTCTTCGTGTCA